AGCGAAAACCTCTAAAAAAAAAAAAAAAAAAAGACACTGGTGCCGACATTGCTAGCTTCAACAACAGAATGCCCTCTGACTTTTTTTTTATATTGTGATTCAGGCTTTCATCATATGACATATCTCAAAAGATTAAAATTACGCCAGCTCCGCTGTGGACTCCCTGCTGCACTGCATCTTCCTGAGGAAGGATCTAGTTTGAGGCACTGAGAAGGATAAGACACCAGGTTGGGAAGAGTCGCCATCAGAGCAACATGAATTCTGTTAAAATTGAAGCAAGAAGAAACATCAAATTTATGGTGAAGCTTGGGTGGAAGAATGGTGAAATCATTGATGCTTTACGAAAAGTATATGGAGACAATGCCCCAAAGAAATCAGCAGCTTACAAATGGGACTAGACAATGTTGATGATGTTGAAGATATTGAAGATGGTGAAGATGTTGATGATGAGAAAATGAGGAGGAGGAGGAGGAGGAGGAGACCCACAGCTGCAAACCATCTATATCAATTTGAAAGAAAAAGACTAATCTTGTTCATGCCCTAATTGAAGAGGGCTGATGATAAACAACAGAAATAACCAACAGACATCTCAACTGGTTCTACTTATGTAATTCTGACTAAAAAGTTTGAACTCGAGCAAACATTCTGCTCTATAGATGCCAAAACTGTTCCACCCAAATCAGCTGTAGACAAGAGCAGAGCTTTTGATGGAAATGTTAAATGTGAGATCAAGATCCAGAGGAATTTCTCTGAAGAATTATAAAAGGAGATGAAACATAGCTTTACCAGTGTAATCCTGATGACAAAGCGTAATCAAAGCAATGCCTACCAAAATGGGGAAATGATCCAGTCAAAGCATAAGTGGACCAGTCAAGAGCAAAAGTCAGCAAGTTTTGTGATGCTCAAGGCATTTCGCTTATTGACTTTCTGGAGCATCATAGAATGAAAACATCTGCTTATTAGAGTGTTTTGAGAAAGTTAGCCAAAGCTTTAGAAAAAGTTCAGGAAAGCTTCACTAGAGCGTCCTTCTTCATGACAATACTCCTGCTCATTCCACCCATCAAACAAGGGTAGTGTTGTAAGAGTTATGGTAAATCATTAGGCATCCACCATACTGTCCTGATTTGGCTCCTCCTAACTTTTCTTTCCTAATCTTAAAGAATCTTTAAAGGGCACCAATTTTTCTACAGTTAATAATGAATAAAAGACTGCATTGAGATGCTTAAATTTGTAGAAACTTTCAGCTCTTTATGGATAGACTCAGTGGTTGGTATTGTCAGTTTAAAAAGTGAATTTAATTTAACTTCCGTTGAGAAAGTTTATATTTTTTATTTCATTTTTCCATGAACTT